AAAGTGAAAGTAGGCGAGTCTATGTTGATTTCTTGGCGCTTTGGGATTCTAAAAACATGATCTGATATTCAGTGTTTTGCAGGCAAGTATGTGTGTAGGAGCACATGTGGAGTAATTACTCAGGAGGACTCTGGTTTGGCAGCTCCAAGGGCTGTGGTCCTCTGTTTATCACAATCAAAGGTTATGATATGTACGTCCCCACCCCATGCTCCATCTCTCTGCCTCAAACCTGTCTTGAATGAACCATAGCAGGGGTGAGCAGGATATATAATGGTTTTGGTTATTAATTCTTTGCCTTTCCTGTTAAGTTCCCAGCTTCCATGTCACTTGGGACAGGACACTTTTCCACTGGATTGGGATTATCCATTGTATTAATGGGAGCTATGTTTCTTCTACAGGGACTTCTTTTTCCTTCTATAAGGTCTTTGTTGTTTGTACATCACTGGAGCACTCCTGTGCTGTATCTTATTACCAACTGCCACCAGCCTTGTACAGAGTCTCATCTTTTTCCTTTTAGCCATCAAACTTTTCAGCCCTACTTTCTATTTTTGGAATAGGTGCTGGAATTTTCTATATGTTTATATCATGCCCTATGCAGGAGAATCCTTGTCCCTGACACGTGTCTCATTAATTTCAGCCTTGTTCAATGATTATTTTGGGAGGAGTGTTTTGTTACACTGCATGTATAATTATAGTGGATTTTCTCTCTTAATACCCTGATAAATTGGTTTGAAGAGTTTATTATTACATTAAAATAGTCTGCCATAGTGAATCATTATCAGAGTGCAGATTCCCATTAATTCCATTTCAATAAAAGCCAATAGCTGTATCTCCCCAGTTTGGGCTGATCTCACTCTCTGCACTTAACACAAATGAGAACATGCCTGTGTGTACACTTGCACGCCATGGTGGTCATGTGTGCTCAAACAACTCCTCACTTTGCTCTCACCCCCTCCAAGGTGGATGTGCCAGATGCTCTAGAGCTGCTCCCAGAGGAGACACTCCCATCTCTTGCAAGCTCTTAAGTTCTCGTCTCACCAGCCAAAATATTTCAGAAGAATTTTCAGAAATGCAGGTGCGTGCAGTTGTGAGGAGCAACTTGCTTTGAGCTCCATGGCTGTTTCACCTCACAGCAGCCATGCTCTCAAGGGCAATTATCTCTATAGTAATTAACAAGGGAATTTTCTCTGATGCTGCAGAGTGAGTCATGCAGCTTCCAAAAGATTAGTTTGTTAGTTACTGAATAAAATGTTTGCAGATGTACTTTGCTATGATAACATCTCTGACTGGGGATGACTCATTACAGATGCAAGAGTAAAGATCTGCAGGGTCCAAAATGTGACTGCATGATCCAGAATTTTAGGCTCCTCTAGCAGCTAGCATGACCCCAGTGTCAGCAAGAGGAATTTGGTTCTGCAGTAGAGCCCAAAGGGGAAAAAGTCCTTTTGCCTCTTCTCCTCACTGCCTCTACATTAGCAGGGAAGGAGAGGTGGCAGTCCTGTGCTCTTCATAAGAGCTGGAGTGCCCTTCTTGAGGGACAGGAGAAGAGATATCTTGGGCTGCTAAGTCTCTTCCCTTAAAGACAGCAAAACTGGGCCAGGTCATACCAAACAGTGCAACAAAGTTCATGCTTTCTTAGTATTTTGTTTCTTGAATTAAAGATGAGCTTTGGGACAGCCAGCTTCAGCCTTGTAAGAAACCACTTCCCATTAGCTTCCATATTTTTTTCTATTCTGAAATGTCTGTTTAAGCATTTTTTTAATAACAAGACCCTGCTATCACACACACTGGGTTGCACTGCAAACATGCAGTGGTTCTGCCTTCTGCAAGTACCCAAGACATGGGATGTACAACCTAATTCCTTCTTCTGGAATACAAATCCTCATCAACTTTGATTCGTATTAACCTTGAAAGTGCTATTCCTGACTCATGCCAGTTAGCTGTAGGAGAGTCAGAGCTGCAACCCATGAATGAAACTGGAATGGATTTGAGACTAAGCTTAGTAGCACAAATTGTGAGGAGTAAGGTAAGTAGGCTTTAGAAGTCATTTCGGTTTGGGTCTTCTGATGGTGTGCACAGCAGGAGGAATGCTTTAAGGACTTGTTAGTTAATAATTCCTAGTGAGTGTGCCCCATGCATGAACTAGCACACAGTGTGAGTAGGATTGACCCTGTCTGTGTGCACTGGGTTTAACCACAGCCAGCTCTGGAACAGAAAACTGTGACAAAGAGAAATAGGATTTAACTCTGGAAGTCCTAGACTTCTCAGTGTGAGCAGGGAACTGCTTCCACAAATGCATGGAGTGATCAAGGACTAGAGGGAATAACTGTTTGTTCTTGGGAACCTGTGTAAAAATTGCTTGGGAATTAATCCTCTGCTTTGCTTTGGCATTCTTTATATTGACAGAGAAGCATTAGGAACAAGCATATTGCTGCAATCTCCTTCTGTGGCAAAAACTCTTCAGTTAAAAATTCAAGACAAATTAAAAATGGAAATAAAGTCCATTCACCATATCTTACTCTACCATATGTAGAGTAATCAGGTTAGGATTGTCTTCAGTTTTGCTAGCCTAATAAACAGAACATCTATCAGAAACACTGTTTCAATGAAACAAAAATGAGAGTGACTACTTCCCTTTATCTCTGTTCAGTGCTTTACAGAAGAGAAAATTCTGCACCAAAATTAGCCCAAAATTTGAAAATCTAATCAATGCTTGAAGAGGGTCATGAAATGAGCAGTGCAATCCCTTCACGTTATTCCTAATGCCATATTTGTGTTTAAGGGTGTGTTGGCCTTGCAACATGGTAGGTTCTGTTTTTGCAATTTAATTTAATTTCTTTCTTATTATAGGCATGCTGCTTGCAAATCTAATAATAAATTTTCAGTAAATATTACTTTGGGAGGCATCTGTTCCTTAAGGAAGCCTTAGAACCAGTTTTTGTTTTATTTAGGAAATATACACAATGTAAATAGACCCTGGAAGATCTTGTGCAAGGCCAGGGATGTGGTGATATGAATTTGGCTTTCTTTATCCTCGTGTCACTAGAGGCAAGCTTCCTGGATGCACAAAATTCACTGCAGGTGTTGTGGTTCGTATCAGTTGAGGATTTTCTCCTCAAGGGAAGAGTAGCCTTAGATGGAAAGAGATGTTCAATGAGACTGAGATTTTTCTTTTTTGCTTGGTTCTGGCCATTGAGTCAGCTGCACTGTTTGTACCTCAAAAGCTGTGAAATATAACATAAATACATTGTGTGGTGTTTCCATTGTGAGCTTATTTAAATGGGCAGCATCCAGGGCAGGGGTAGTCAGAGACATCCCGTGCCTGCAGCCCCTGCAGTGGTAGGGGATGGATGAAGTCAGATAGGTCTGAATGATGCCCATGGGCATACCAGTCCCTAGGAGGCAGAGGGATGGAAACCCCCAGTTTCACCTAGAAACTCCCATTCAACCCTGTATTTGCCCCTCACAGAAGCGAGGCACCTGAGGATATTTCTCCTTGCACTTATCCTTTATTCAGGCTTACACAGGTTTTCTCCTGACAAGGCCCCTCCCAAGTATTCAGATGAATACTTGGTAGAGAAACAACAAAAAAATACAGATAAGAATGTGTCTATCCCCACTCATAAAAAGCACTCTTTCCTGACCTCTGGGACTGGCTGGATGCCCTGCTGAAGCAGGTGGTTTGACTACAGGGAATCCCCTGTAGTCTGTAGCTGCAAAGCTGTACCAAAGTTGCATGAGGCTCAGAGGGCAATGCAAAGCTGGGCTTGTTGCCTGTCATCCACAAAGAGAAAACATGAGTACAGCAAGTGTTACCTTGGTATTTTAAGATTATAAGGGCCCCTATTACTTTTCTCTTTTGCAATTTTCTGTAGAAAACTTACTACTCTCTGTATTATAAGAATTAATTAAACTTACTACTATAAATTAATTAAATTTACTACTCTCTGTAGTATAAGAATGAATATTGTGAGAGATAGCTAATCCAAAATTTTGAGGTCCAATAATCTCTATTTAAGAACTATTTTAACTTTCTATGTGGTCCTGAGAAACTTGCCTGGCTTGAGTACGGGTGTTGGACAAGATGACCTTCCTTCCAACTCAGCCATGAACTCCATGCTAGTCTCTACCTCCTCTGATAAACTGTCTTTGAATTTAGTTACCCACTGTTTAATTCTTTATTATTCAATACTCTGATATCTGGCTACAGTCGAAAATTTCTGAGCTTTGGTTGATTTGGAATTTGATAAAGTGTTGTATTTTGTTTATGTTAGACTAGTGGCTTTATGCAACTTAATGTTACCAAAGATGGCAGGCCAGTTTGATTTGCCACCCTTTTAGTGTTATCTTTGTATTGTGCAGCACTGTAATGTCAGTGGGACATTACCTGTGTGTGGACTCAAGCAGGTCAGTGTGTGATTTTTCTGGGTTATGACCAGAAAGTTTAAAGCTCATGTAAATGATCCTGTATTGACATTTTGCTACACCCAAAGGGTGGAAAAATAGGATGGAAAGGATTATAATTTTCTGCCGATTCAAAAAATGATTTTGACAAAAGTGTTATTCCTTTCAACTGCAAAATCAGAAGAGAGGTAAATCTGTAAGAGGGACAGAGTGAGACTGACCATGCAGTCAGCTCAGATATATTAATTTGGGTTATATGAGTGCAGCCAATGATGCCAGCATAGGAAAACCCCACTTAATTCTTAGCAATTGCCTGTGATTTATGGCAGAATTGCCATGATGTAGCTCTTGGAACAATCTTAATCAAACAGGACTGGGGTGACATGTTGTCATGCAAGAACAAAGATGACAGTAAGATAAGTAAAGAGGGGTATGTATCATTTTATTCCTCCCTTCAAGGGTGAGCATTTTTAATGGAATATTTTGTAAACAATGTGAACTGTGAAGGAAGTAGCAGTGGTCTAGTCTTAGGAAAAAGAAAGCAAGTCTTGACTTTTTTTACTCATTCAAATAGAGCTTGAATTGTTTTTTATAAGGGATCTTGGAACATCATTGTCCCGTCTCCGTGTCCTGTGGATGGCTCGGTGTGGGCTGCCAGATTTAGATGGGATCTCTTCCTTCAGCTCTCTAAAAGTACGTATAGATGTGTCCTACCAAATGACAATCTCAGATCTACCTTCAGTTGATATTCTTTACTTTTAGTCTTCATTCTCTTCAACTCTTGCTTTTCTGGCTGGCTTTGGTTTCATGCCTCGAATTGTGTGAGTTAGTTTAAAAAATGCTACAATATAACTCTTAAAATGAGGTGTAACATTCAGGTCTGATTCTGAGTACGCCTAAAGCAGTATATGGCTAAATTAGCTCTTATTATTAAAGGCTGCAACAGCCACACTTTATAAAATGTTCACTACCTTGCTAGTTTCATCTTGTAACATTTAGTATTTCAAGTATTAGAAAAAATTTTGCAGAGCCTCAGTGTTACTTGTGCAAGCCCGTGGTTTACGTGTTTATTCTGTTTACTTCTGCTGAGGAACTCTACATTGCTTACAACAATATCTCTGACCTGAGCCAGCTGACCTGGCTGGATCACCTGGAGGTTTTGGACCTGGAAGGGAACAATATTGAGGACATCAACCAGGTGCAGTACCTGCGACTTTGTTGCAAGCTAAGCCACCTGACAGTGGAGGGCAACCTTATTTGCCTGAAGCCAAATGCAGAATCTGCAGAGGTGAGGACTTGGTTTGCACATATTGTGTTATTTTTTGTCAGTACTTTTTAACTGTGAGTTGGAAACGAGAAACATTTCTGCATCTTCCTATTGCATCATTCTCAATGATGCCATGGGATGCATTTCCTACCTTTAATTTCTGTTGATTTTGTGGTGTCATTAGTATGGTCTCCAGGATGACCACAAGTGAAATACAAGACTGCTAGTAAAGACTCACACCTATTTCCCAGCAATATGAGGAAAAACTTCTTCTCTTGGAGTATGAGCACTGGAACAGGTGTCCCAGGGAGGCTGTGGAGTATCCTCCCCTGGAGATACTGAAAACTCATCTGAGTGTGATCCTATGCAGCCTGCTCCAGGTGAACCTGTTTTAGCAGGGAGGCTGAACTGGGTGATCTTAAAAAGTAATTTCCAACCCCAACCATTCAGCGATTCTGTGGTGAGACACCAGTTTTTGAGGGTTTTGCATTTCTTTTGGAGGCTCTCCAGTCCAAAAGCAAGTCCTCCAATGCCACCATGCTCAGAAGTTGGGCCCTTAGAAGAACAGTGAGGTAACTAGGAAAAGCCATAATGTTGGAACTACTTGTTACCCTTTCCCCTGAAAGCTTAAAATCAAATGACCAAGAAGACCCTCAGAAAGAGCTGAAGATGCAAAAGTGATTCACATCTTACATACTAAAATGATGGAGTAGTTTCTGCTGAGGTATTTTGTTGAAGGCATGAAAGAGCCTCTGTGTCACAAAGCTGGGAACACAATAATACATTATCTGATTTGGGCTTCAGGGCACTCAACAAACAAAGCAAGGGAGATCTAATTCTACATGAACAGCCTCAGAACTGTATTAGTCTCTGACTTTCTCCTACTTCATAAAAAAGCGTTGTTGGGGTATTAAAACACCAACATATTTGCCATCCAGGTCTTTTGGAAGGTCTATGGACATACACAGAGTTATGTAAAACACAGGTCTCACTAAGGATGGTGCAATTCCCAATGGCACCATAAACAGCTGGTAATGCAGATCCAAAATCAGAGCTGATGCTGTTATCTCACTGTAACATATTCTATAGCTTTTCTGTGTATTTTAAAGAAGTTATGTTGATACTGTTAATTTGCCTAAAAGGTTGGGTTTGATATTTTTCCTGGACTTAGACTTGAAAACACTAAAACTCAATCATGCAACAGGCATATATTTTAAATCTTGGCACTTCTTAAATATATGAGTTAATAGCATTTTTCAGATGCAATTGTTGGCTTGATCTTATTGTTCAGTAAAAGGGGCCATGGAAGGTAGCTCTTTAGCTGTCATAGTTTTCCTCTCTGGAATTCAAAAGAAAATATTATATACTTGCCTTTCTAGTTTAAAGTGGTGGAATTATCCTTAAGGGACCACATTGTAACTGCTTGTAACCAAAGTGATTTCTCCATTTTGGAACATTTCTCCCTTATGGAAGATGCAATCATGAGAGGAAAAACATATTCCTGCAGTAAGGAAGCACTGCCTACTTGTGATGGACAAGGCATGCCTCCTTACTCTTTCTGCTCCCAAGGAGATAAATACATCTACTGACACTTCATATCATAGCTTCCTACTATGGAAATGGTGCAGTGTATCCTAACAGCACAGAAGGTCTGATGCTACTCCCTTGTTGTTCCTGCTCAATGAAAGTGGGATTTTTGGAGGATTTGACATCTTCAGTCTTTAAGTGTACTTGTAATGGAGAAATGACAGATTTCCCTTGGGCTGTTCAGGTGAAATGAGTCCTTGGGATGCTCTGCATGTTGTCCCATCATGGCAGTACAAAGAGCAGTGGTATGTGGTGGTGTGCCCTCCTGCTCTTCTCCATGCACACTGGCTGTCTCTACTCCTGTGCAAGTAGGTGCTAAGATCTGATCAGTGAGACATGCTTCTACCCGAGTTGCAGTGCAAACCTTATGCCAAAGTCAATGATACAGATTTTATTTAACAGTAAATGTGAGGTAGAGAAATAAAAAGAAATGGAAAAGAGAGGAGAGAGAAGAATATTGTCAGCACCCATGGATCCAGTGGCATCCCTGTTGATCATTCTTCAGCTTGGACTTCTTGGTGGTAGGGTCCCAACATCATTCAAAACTTTTCATTCTTTACCCATTTTAGCAAACAAAGGAATTAGGCATTAATTGGCTGCACGGATCTCTTATGCTATTGGGTAAATAATTATCTCTTGTGTCTAACACTAATTAGTCCACATGCTTTGTCTTTCTTTTCTTTTGAGCCAATGATCACAAGGTTCCCCTGTCAAAATTACCTTTTACCCAGTGGGAACTGATTTTAGCAGAGTTGCTGGTTTGCCTTTCCTTGTGGCCTGTAAATTCTACATTTTTTTTGTTTCCATTATCAGTGATACATTCTTCCCAGCTTTGTTAGCCTTCCCCTAAGTGTGAGATAACACCCAGACAATAGCACCACCTTTGTCTTATCTACAGTCCAAGTTCCAGGTATCCACAGAGGAATATCTGGGGGGGCTTCAAGTGGTCATTGGTGGTCACAGATGTGAATTTGTCCAGGGAATCAGCACAAAGGTGTATTTTACACTGAGCTGTAGCAGAGGCAGGCTGTGAGTTCACTGTAGTCTCCCGCCCAGTCTCTGTGTTGGGAAGATGCTTTGCTCTCAGGTTGTTACAAAGTGGGGACTGCCCTTCATTGCTGAGAGCTTCTCCATGGACTTTGTTGCTTTCTTGATTTCAGTGGATGTTTGCATTTTTTTAGTGTATAGGAAAGCCATTTAGAAAAGAGTATATGTGGGCTTGCTTTGGTGCGCCCTTGATGGCCAACTCTAATTCCTCAAGCTCCTTCTTGTAGTCTGGCCCTTGCTAAAGGTCTGTAAAAGCTCTCCTATTTATTTACTTTTAATCTACAGAATGGTCCAGCTAAATTTACTGCTCTTTCTTCAGATGGCCTGTTTGCTCCCTGTAATTTGATTTTCAGATGAGCTCATCTTCCCCTGTTATCTAAACCAAGAGCAACAACTTGATGATAAATTCTGCAGCCTCTGTAGCTGAAATGTAGCATGAGTGTAACATGATTCTTCTCTCCAACAGGACATGGCTGGGAATTGGCTGTAGCTGAGAATGGTTGACTCAATTTCTAAATTAAGATTAAAGACTTAGTTTGTGAAAATTAGTGTCTGCCTCTTAACAACAACTAACACATTTTATTTGGTGAGTTCCCTCTACCAACATCAGTGCTGCATCATGCAGAGAGAGGGGGCATCCAAGCAACCAAACCCCACAGAAAGGTTTCTGTTTATGACCACTCTGTATTGAATGAGGACTTGGCTTTGAGGAGGTTTCTCATATTTCATGCATTATCCTGAAAAGCATAAGATCTGCCTGGGTGAAGCAATTGATTGGTGGGTAGCTGTCCATTTGTATTCTGCCACTATCAATGCACTCTTGCCTTATACTTTTTTTACTGTGTGCCCAAAACCACAATCTATGGAAGTGCTCTTTCTTTCTCCATCAGCAGGTGTAGCAACACTCATAACATATTTCAAGCCTTTCTATCACCTGAGCATTGAGACAAACACCAGAGAATCACAAAAGCAGGGAGACAGATTGGCTGAATACTGAGGGAGCCCAGGCTTTCCATGGGCATCAGTGGCGTTTTTGCTTTTGCACATTACACATGATATAACAAAGACAAATGGCAAATCGTCAGTGGGTAAACAACAGAGGAGTCTTTAGGTGAAGGCCATGTCTTTGCAGTCCTCTGGACATTTTCATGATCAATTCAAGTAGAAATTATGTGAGGAGCATTTCAAATTGTATGGCAGTCATAGAAATTGACAGTATTAACACAGACTGTTAAGTAAACTGACCACTTTCTCAATTTCTCCAGGACCCAGACTATAATTACAGAGCAGAAGTAAAAAAACTCATTCCCCACTTGAAGTATTTGGACGGGATACCAGCAAGCCAGACTACTCTCCTTCCTTCCAAGAAGGTGCATGAAGATTCTCTAATCATCAAGGAATCCATCAAGGAAGGTGGTTTAGCCAAAGACATTTCATTGTTAGGTATGACAGGTTTCTTGTTGGGGTTCATTTTTCAAGTTATGATGTCGAAAAAAAGAAAGACAAAGAGCAAGGCAACCTCTTTAAAGCCAATCTTTACTTACAGTGAAGGAACAAAGGATGTTGTTTTCTTCACCTGGGAAGTAAGAAAGCTGGAATTCAGCAGAAAACAGCTCAGATTTAAATGGAAGTTGCCCTAAACTGGGCATCAAGATCAAAAATGCAGACAACTTCTAGAGCATCAAGCAAATATAGCAGTAGCTGGGAGTCTGTACTTAGGACTTGTTCTGCATGATGGGAAGAAGCAAAGCTTGGAAAGGAATGTTTCAACAACAGCTGCTCACAGCTCTTTCCATGGTAACAGTCAACCCCATGTAGCATGGATGTGGTAGGATTTCCTATTTCAGTTTAATAATAGGAAAGGCAATCTGGTTACCACCAGTGGTAGCAACATCTGAGAAAGATTGCATGGTCTTGTAAGAAATCTGTTCCACTTTCTTTGTTATTAGATTAAGTTCATAACATTCATTAGTAGAGAATAAATGGTTTGAAAGTAAATCTGTTGTCCCCTTGCCTGCAGCCTTGGTAATAGTTCAGATGTCCATGCTTTTACGTGTCATGGTACATGCACTTTATCACATACTATTAAATATTGCAAAGTATTTCCTATAACTGCTCATGATGCTTCCCATTAGTGTGGGCAATGCAGTTGGCTTCCCAGCCCCCTCCCCAGGTTGTGGTTTGCCTGCCAACTGCGCTCCATTAAAAATTTAGTTTGTTTTGGAATAAGTACATACATTTGTCATTTATTGAATCCCTATGGGTCCAAATCATTAGTTGTAATAGTAGTCATGGTAGGGAAAAAATCCATTAAAATCTGATCCTTCAGTGATCGTGCTTTGGCAACATCACCTGAGGTTCAGAAAACTAGTTAACAAAGTTTGCTGACAGAAGCAGTAGGGGCAGAGTACAAAATTGTGAATTCATCTAATTCCCTGGTGTAACCAGGCTTGTATTCTTGCTGGCAGCTCTAAACCAGTCAGTTCATACAGTCAGGTTCAGACATCCCAGTACATTTTTCTTTCCAGTAGCAATGTTGATTTGGGTACTTTCACATGGAGTGTATTTCATGGGTTCATATTAACAGCTGTGCCCAAGATGTATTAAAGGTCCCTAACACTCAACTCTTAAGGAAATGGCCATATCATCACAGACCTGATGCCTCACTTTGGAGCTGGTAGATGTTCAGCACTTTAAAAAGCATGTTATTCATCTGGGCACTGGAATGAAATTCTCTCTCCCATGGGTTGTTGGCTTCATATGCTGCTCTTAGAGCTGTGCTGTGCTTCCAGGACAGACAGCAGTTGGGCAGGTAAGAGGACAGGGCTCTGTCTGCCTTTGCTAGTTTTTGTATAATCCTTCCTGTCCTGTAGCATTACAAAAACAATTTTCACCTTTCTTTCTGTGGTAGAGGACTATCTGTCTCTGAGGCAGTACTGGAAAAATCTATCACTGCCATTCTCAGATTTTTGTAACTCCTGGTACAGTTTCTCCTGTTTGACTGGTGGCTCTGGTAAGGTGTCCATCACCATCTGCATTGTGCCAGGGCATTTAAGCAACGTATTTAAGGACTGGGGCCTAGGCTGTGCCTGCAGCAAGTCTGGAATGGTTCCCCTGTGGGCATTTAAGCAAATGAGGGGCAGCTTACAGTTAGCCTGGGCATGCAGGCAGGGAAAGTGGCAGTGCCCTGGATGTGTCCAGGCTCCCCTGTGGGGCAGCCAGAGGTGGGTGGTGAGCACAGAGCAGTTCCTGACCCATAACCCCAGCAGTCTGTCTCTGGTGCCCTGAAGCAGAAGAAGAGTGGGAAGAGATATCAGTTCAGTTAGGGATCCCCAGATTCTGCCATGACTGGGCAGCACTGGAAGACCTCCTTCCCTAGGCTGGACCCATTCCAGCATGTTTCTTGTAGCTGCAGTTACATATTCTTCTGTCCTCTATAGCTCCAGGTGTGCAGGAGCAGTTGCCATATTGGCAAGGTACGGTGATGGTGTGATTTGAAGCCTTGCATAACTGTGCTTACACTAATGAAATCTCTCTTCTAGATCCGTATCTTGGGGAAGTAGCAAAGCAGTCTGAATGCAGCCCAAAACCCCCAACAACTTCCAGACCTGGAAATGCACAGAGTTCTGCTAATGCAGGGACTTCTCGTGATGCCAGCCTCTTGGGCGGTGGCTGTCCTCTTCCAGATCCCACTGTTTTTCCTGATAAGCTGTTCACAAAAGATGACTCCAGTGATTTGACACATGGTAATGTATGTTTTTTTACTCCTGTTCTTTCCCACACCTCCACCTCCTTCTGAATGTTATTACTGATGAAAGCCAGGGTGCTTTGAATACCACCCACCCATGCCACTGCTAATCAGGTTTAGCATATGTTGTCTTCCACAAGACTCACCTGCTCTAGCGTAGGCTTTCCTTTATTTCCCCCTGCAGCAGAAGGTGCAAGTCACCTGCACTGCCCATCCTCAGCCCCCTGCCCCCACGTGCTGCTGTCCCTTTTCACAGCCCCATACTGCAGTGCTGCTCCCCTTCCAGACCTCTTTGCAGCTGTCCTGCTCGAGTAACACCAGGCCACGTCCTGTTCAGCCACGGGAGCGTGTCCAAGGCAGTCCTCCAGAGAGGTGTGGTGATGCACATTCCCTCCCCCCTGCATCGTGGGCTCAGACTGTGTGTGCTGCAGTCTCATACTGCAACAGCATCGCTGCTGGCAATGAGCACTTGGGTCTGGGTTTCCAGAGGTTGGTCCCTCAGCAAGAAGAGTCAGTTCCTTGACTTCACATCCTGATCTAGCCCAAAAGACAGGTCTACCACTGCCCTTATTGTCCTAGTCACTTGGAAATACCACCCATCCTTCCCTGACTCCTGGAAACACTGTGATGGTGTAACTCCACCAGCCCACAGACTGCAGATTAGATGGCATTTGTTTCCAGGCATGGTGGGCTGCTTTGCTCAGATACCTGTCTCTCCTCAGTTCCCTGCCTATTGGTAGGACTCAGGATGATGGATTAGATGAAGCAATGCAGAGTCAACACCTGAGTGGACATTTGGAAATGTACATGGAAACTAAGTACAGCTTGTCAGGGAATGAGACTGTAATTTTACACACAGTTTTAGGCAGCTAACACTACTGATAGAGACAGTTTTACCCAATGCTCACTGCTTCTTCTGACCCTTTATCTCTTTTTAACCTGATTGCTTTATCTCTTTTTAACCTGATTTTAATCAAAATCCAGCTGAAAAACAATCCAGCACAACAAACAAAAACGACTTCCCAAAATCATATTTTTTTTAAATCTGAATTTGTTCCCTGATCTGACTGACATGTACCCTCACAAATATTTGCACCAGCACAACTAAGGAGGCAGGGCAGGGTCAAAAGAAGACATTCTGGTGGAAGCAGAGAAACTGCCTCTTAGCAGCAGTGTCAGGCCATGCCAGCTGGTAGTGTGAACCTACATCATAAATATTATAACTTCCTGTCTATGGGAAGTTATATTTACTGACTTCAATGACAGCACTGTTTGTTAAATGCTGGAGTAAAATGTTTCCTTTTTTCCTGTTTTTCTTAGGACTCCGCCAGGTTATATGTGGGAACCCTGCCAAGGCCCTCCATGTGAGGAGGCAAAAGCTAGGTGTATGCTTTTCTTGTAAACTTCATATTCCTGCATGGTGACCCCCACAACTCCTGGGATAAACTGAACTCCCACTGTGGCTTGTAGCAGCTCACTCTGTTCTGTAGCCAAGAACCCCCAAGATGCAGTTGCCTTGAGGAGGACAGAGGGTCCCCTGCCATGATGTTGCATGTGCCCATGTGTTAGCAGCAGTGGACCATCAGCTGCAAGGGAGCAGTGAAAATCATGTATCAGCTGCTGGGGGCAGATTTCCCATCCTCCTGCAATGAGCAAAGTACAAGGCAGGCTTGCAAAACTTGATAGTATTTCTACAACAGTTATTAAGAGAAAGACTTTTTTCAGCAGTGTTTCTTTGATGTTGGTGTAAACAGACAGCTTGCTAATGCTGCAAGGTCATTCCTGTTGACTAAACAAACACAAAGCCAGAGTTTGTTCCTCTTGGCAGTGGGGTGGTGCCCCTGCCCTGTGGGTCAGCCTGCTCATTTTGGCTGTAATTCGGTGAGAGGATACCCATGTGTGTAAAGGGGAGCAGCCTGGCTTGTCATGGTCAGCTTTTGTTGGCCCTGAGGTTCAAAACACCACAGCTACACATGAGTAGATTTAAACAGGCTAGGGTATATCAGGGAGATGCACAGGACACAGACTTAATGCTCACAACAGATGTTAAAGAACTGCAGGGAAAAGATAGGTACTGCCCATGTCTTTCTGCTACCACAGCCTCAGCATAGGAAGCTTTTCTGAAACAAATTTGAACATTTTAGGGAATTATTAAGAACTGGGATGTGGAATTGAGCTGTGGTCATATACTGAGTAATGCAGTTTCTGTGGTACTGGTCTTAATATGCTTATAGGTATAGGTGCTATAGGCTTATATCCAGTGAAATACAAATCAACAATTTTGTCACTGCTACCGTGGGTTCCTCAGGCTGTAATGGTACATGACTGGGAAGTGAAACTTCTTAAAACTGAGGAGTTAGAAAATGATGAGGGATAAACTAAAAACTCAGAAACAACAGTGGGCTTTGATGTATGCTGAAATCTACATCTAGAAACGGAGCTGGGAAGTGTTCCCATGGATATCTAGATAACTTGTGCCATTTCCACAGCCACCTGCTGTGAGGCCTTTGAAACCATCTGGTCTGACGACAGAAAACCTTTGTGGCTCTGGAGGAGGAAGAGATCTGCACCTGGAAAAGGTGTCCTCTGACCTGGGAGCATGGATGGAGCAGCACAAGGGGTGAGACCGCTGGGGAGATAGATCTTGCCATGCCATAAACTCTGCATTCATTTTCTGCTGCAAAAATAAGATCAGCGCTTTGGCCACCTGCTGGTGGTTTCGAGGGATAATCTCGGCCCCTGCCTTCCTGTCCCTGCTTTGGGCGGCAGTCCTCCTGCCTGGAGCATCTGCGGGATGGCAAGGGAGAAGGATCCTCCTCCTTTTCTCTGGAGCACAGGCAGGATGGGCTCACTTCCTTAGCAAGAGCAGAGAAATGACTTCTCATAACTGGTGAGCTGTTCTTGGCCCTGACAGTGTCTGGTAAAAGAGCTGAAAGGGGATTGGCTTTTCTGCAAGCACCACATTGGCCTAAGCAAATAAAAGGCTGAAAGAAATACCACCTTGCTGAGATCTGATAAGTCTCACAGATAGGTAATGGTTATTTTGGAAGTAAAAATGGTTTTATTTCTCTGAGCTTACTTCACTGGGTAGTATTTTAAATCTGCCCCACTTCACCTGATTAACTTTAAGATGCTTGAGATAATCAGACACAGGCATCTTAGATGGCTGGTCCCATTTAAATGAGTTTTCATATCTCCTGGAAGGTGTGAAGTAACAGTGGGTAACTAAATCCACTGCAGGGTGTTTGCCTGAGTGGCTGCATTTGACCAGCTGCATAAACACACTCAAAAGCTAATTAAAGGTGTGATACTTGATGTTGTCCAGGTGCCTGCAAACAGGTCAGCAAGAACAAGCCAGCCAAGCACTGAAGGTGAATGAAGGTGAAGACTGGAGCCTGACTGACAGCTTAGGAAATGAGTTGAGGGAGGCCTGTAATGAGGACCTCATTGAAAGGATTTCATTTGACTCTTCTTCCCGTTCCTCCTCAGGTACTGGACCTAAACCCCTGGGGGAGGGTTGGCCTTGGGCCAAACACGTGCTGTTTGTAGATAGGTACGTGGGTAATCCAGTGTTTTATGGGATCTGGCATCTGTGCTCCAGGGCAGCAGCTGGAAAATGCCATTGCAGGGCCAGACCCTAAGCAATCCATTCCAGTTTTCAAGCAGGACATTGTGGCCAGCTGTGTTGACCATCAGTTGATATATTTCAGCATGAATATGTAGAATTAAGAGGAGCAAAGGTGATCTCACACTAGCTTAGCATCAAGTGCAGTAGAAGGACAGGTCTCTGTCTTTTACCTTGTGTCATTAATTTATGACACTGCCAGGCGAGTCTAAAATATTGTCATTCCTACTGAGCTGTATTTGAACCCAGTTGGCACTGATGTAAATAATGGCTGAGCTGGTGATTAAGGTTTAACTGAACAACTGGGAATTCTGGAACGATATGCAACCAAAAGGAAGCATTCAGTAAAAGGTTTAAAAATGGAACATGCTCTTCTACTCAGGAATAAAGCCAAAGGCTTCTCTGAAATTGCATTTACGTGAATAAAAGCAGAATTCCCACTCTTCACTACTTGTTGAATATTGGCTTTAAAAATATTAAAAACATTAATAATGGTTATTCCAAACACATATCAAATAGAGGACCATATATAATTACAACTTCAATCTTTTTTCTGTTATTAATCTAAACAACTCCTTTTTTCTCAATAAGTGAAAGCATGTGAGATTTCATTTTACATTTCTTTCAAGGGTAAAAATGGATCTACTAAAAAATTTAGAAAAATATAATATATTAAAAAAAAAAAAAAGGAAATATCATTAAATTATTCAAAGCCTCTATGTGTATTAACAGTACTATAAACAGTATCTCCCTAACAAGAATAAAGGCTGTTTGGAAAAATCTAAAGGAATGGCCTATTGTCCAGTACCCACAAAAGTCTTAGATTATGATCTCATGATCTCTTTAGATTTAATCTGGTCTTCTTCAGATTTTATGTGATTTCTTTACACTGAGTATGATGGTCTCCTCATCTTTCTAGATTGACAGGACAATGTCACAAACATCCCGCAGTGTACCAGTGTCATGCCCTATAGCACTGTGAAAGTGAATGGTTGGGCATCTTCTGACTAAATCTGTGGGATGATGATGGATTAGTTTGAAATCTAGAATTGTCTGAGGTGGTGGGGGGACTGACCAGGATCCTAATGACGCTTAGAAGTGTGTCCAGTGCAGTGTGAGTTTCTCACAGAAGAACTTGTTGCTGGAAGCAATCCTTCTGACCAGAAAAGGACAAGTCATCTGAGCAAAGCCACTCTTACATAAAAATGTTTGCAGCATCAGATCCATATAAACTGTATTTTTTGGAAGGCGTTGAATGTTATTTCAGGCTCTTGAGTCAGACATACCAGTCTCTCAGAGTGGCTCTACTTGAAAACAAATATGAAGTTTAGACATTTTAAAAGTATATCATATGATACAAACTGTTCCATGAAAACTTTTTATCAGCTCTACCTAGGCAGTAAAATACATCCCCATCAACTGGGAGCCACAGAGATGAACTTTCTGGGCCTGAGTTTTGGTGGCACATTCTTTAGATTATGTTCCTGGCGTGGACCCTGCACATCAGGCACTTAGGTACAGTTAGGTTCTTTTAATAGACAAGAGCAATTGGATCCCTGCTATTTATAGAATGGTTGGTTCTTTCAATAGACAAGAGCAATCAGATCCCTGCTATATTTAGAATGGTTCTAAGCATGTGTGCATGCTGGTTATATTTATACGTCAGCAACAAGTTTTTTCTTCTCTGTGTGTTGCATGGAGAGAATGACATGGCTGAAACACAAAGAGCCAGAAAGTAGCCCTGCATGCAGTGCAATATTTTCCCCAGCAGTCAGGCACTTATTATGAGATTCCATGATCTCTGCCTCTGATTTAAAAAGTGGATCCGCTCATCTGTGATTATTCCTCTGCCTTACACTTCAGATCACTGGAAGGAGCCCTAAGGTATTTAGAACAAGTCAGTGCAGACACTGGCAGGGAATGATGCAGGTGTGATCCTGCCTGAGAACAGGAGGGCAGGTGAGCTCATGGGTGCCCTGTGAGCTCTGCATGTGAGCTGTTCCTCCCTTGGCATGTCAGTAGCAGTGCTGGCAGAGAGGCTGACAGTGAACCAAACCAACTGTCAGAGGAAGAAATTCAACATGGACACATCTGCCCACCCAGCTCCATCACATAGCATCTCCAAAATCTTTCACTCCCTGGGTTAGTCACGTAGCAGTCAGATGAACTGGTAAATCACTGTGCTTTCCACTCTGTTTCAGGTTCATCACAGGCTCAGGAGGATGCAGTGTTCTCCAACACAAAACATTATCTAATTCCATCCCCTCCAAAAAACCCTTCACCTGCCTCTGCAGTGGATGTTGCAGCAAGACCCTGGAAAACAAGGATTCATAGGGGCATAAAAATACCCAGCCAAGAGGAGGACAGACAGTGTACACAGAAATGCTGGTCAAAGGCTCATCAAGAGTATTCGGCCCAGCCTCTGGACAAAGAACCCACTCTCCTGGGCCTGCACAGCACGATGGCTGCCTCTGCATCCCAAGGGCACTGCCAGCATGTGGGCTGCACCAGCCAGCCAAGGCCCATTCCAGGACCAGCAGCTGTTGGGTCACCAAGGATCAGGTATGTGCACTGGAATGCATCTGGGGAAGGGACTTCATGGCAGGAAAAGGCAGATTTCTCTATTGTCTCTGAGGTCTCCTGCTTCTTCTGTAAAATTAATTCCTTTTATTTGTGCTGACATTTACCTTTGATTGTCTAAAGGTAAAGAAACATTTTCCCATGTTCCTTGTAGGTTGAGTATTGTAAATTTTGTATTTTCTTGAATAATAGCCCAGAATTTTGCTGTGCTCTTACTGCTCGATTCTCGTGTTCCCCACCCAGAGCCAATGCTGTGTCTGTTGCAAAGATCTTGTGGCGCTTGTTCAAAACTCTCCTCCAGTACACTCCAGGAAGGGTTCCTGACATCCCACTTGGGTTTTTTCCCTGACATAAATTCATGTTAGATTGAGCTCTGGAAAATAAAGTAGGCATTAAAGAAGTGTCACATGTGCCAAAACATGTTTATTTCTGAACCTGTTTGCTGTAAATTTAGCATCCTGTTGTTGCTTCTTTGAAGAAATACAACAGAGGACTTGTGACATGACAGCTTGGGTTTGAGCTGAGGGAGTCACTTTGGAGTCAGCAAAGGCAGAGAGCATGTGCCTTGTGTGGGAAGCTCGTGTGCCTGGGGCTGCTCCCAGGCCCAGCAGCTTTTGGTTCAGTTTTCAGAGCTGCTGAGGAGAATGCAGATATTCAAATCCAGAGTGCAGTCTCACCACAGAGTTTTCCTCTTTTCCTCAGGCCCATCATGGATGAGAGCCCTTCTAAAGAGATCAACCACCAGCATCCAGCTGCCTGCTCATCCACAAAAGCCTTGCAGAGGTTCAGGCCAATGAATTCTGTTTGGCCCCTGACTGCCAGGTCCATTCTGCAGTCATTGCCACACAAATCCAGTGCCACAAAAACATCTCAGAACAGAAGTCCTCAGTCCTAGAAGGTACCCAGTTGCCAGCATGTGTTGGAGCCATGTACATGGTGCAGCTGTGAAGGATCAATGCTATCTTGCAGCTTCTGCAAGCTAAACACAGAGCAGTTCAAACAATTCATGTGATTTGCCTCAATTCACGATACAGCTGGTCCACAAATATTTTAAGAGCAACCACTGATCAACCAATGAGCTAATGAATGTCTTATTACAGAAAAATATGGTTATTTTTGCAACCTATACACACTAAAACAGAACAAATCCTATCATACTTCCTCTCATCCACACCATGCCCAGCTCTGTGAGTCAGGCAGGGACAGCAAACAGAGCAGAGCATGGAGCCTGCTGCCTGTGGAGAGGGCTGGAGGAGGTGACCTACCAGCAGCCAGCAGTGTGCCTTTTGCAGTCCTGGATGTTAAACATGTGAGGGCCAAAACCAAGGGCTTGAGAGGAAGTGTTGACCAGAGCAGGCTCTGAGGGAAGGGTGTGTTGCCTGAGGAAAAGCCCAGAAAGGCTGGATGATTTGAAAGTTTATGCCCCCACAGGAGCTCACCCTATTCACAGGCATTGGAGGTTCTTGTAGGATGCATTGCTATGGGAGCAAATGCTGAACAAGTGGCTTATCCCAATATTAACATGTTTGTTTGCTCCATAGCTACCTGGAAGGATTTGTCTCACTTCCTCTGAATAGACATTGCATTCCAGAACTTCCCCGACAGAGCTGACTTCTGTCACCAGGTGTCAGAGCATCCTCTGCATGTGCCTTTTACCTCCATCCCATTTCTAGCTTTCTCAGATCAAATAGACTTTCCAATTTGTTATAATTGGATAATTTTAAGTGATGATGCAGCAAAGCAGGGAAGTAAGGGAATAATCTCATTTTTTATTTCAATAGGGCATTTGCTTCATGTTCAGGTAAGATCCAAAATATCTGTTTTAGTGACTGCAGTCTGTGAGATGCTGTTCCAAATGACTGTGTCTTTCAACTTTATTGATGTTGCAGTCTGAAACCATGCATCATCACATTTTTTCCAGTTTAAATTACTGTGTTAGATTGCATTTTTTAAATCAGTTTATAAAACAGTAATTACACAATGAGTTAATGAATTGGTTTATGCCTCCTTTCTGCTGGCCATCTTAACTTAGAGAAGCAGAATAGACAAGGCCCTGAAATTTCCTTCTCGTCATGGTGCTCCTTGCACCACTTTATCTTACAAAACAGTCTGGAGCTTGAAGCTAGTTTGCCCAGTTTTGGTATGTCCTAGCAGAAATCATCTATCAAAAATCATTTAAAACTATGTGGCAAGTGATTTTGTGCAATATTATGGATGCAGGCAGGATTTCACCTAGCAACAATGCCTGTGCCCTTAAATAGGCTCCTAAATCTGACTTTTTGCCAGTGTCACTGACAGTACCATCACACACACAAAAAAAAAGGTGGCCTTGTAAAAGAAAGAAGACACTGACAGCACTGACCCTTTTCTATATCCAGGGTCCTACCAGGGGGTAATGGGTAGAACTGTCTTCTCCAGATATTCAGAGTCTCCTTCTCAATCGACATCTTTCATTTCAAAGGGGTGGAGGGGAAAAAAATTCAGTGGGTGTGTAAACTGGGTCTGGACATGAGCATCTGCAGAGACAAAACTCTTGGTACAGATCTGGAAAGTCTCTCAAAAGCATCTGTGGTCTCATCTCTCAGCAAACTCCACGTGGCTCTCTATGTGCACAGAGCAAGAAGCTTCTCTGAGCTGGCAGAGAGGATGTGGAGAAATGCTCAGAAAAAAACAGCTCTGCCCTGTGTGCGGGAAATCAGTGCCTGAGGGCTTCATCAAAACCATTTAACTCAGGGTTTCCTGTTGTACCTTCCCATCAGACATCCCAGTGGTGACTCTCAGGGCTGCAGGCTGTGTGTGACCTTCAGAACAGCCACCCTACCCCTCATTAGTCAGCTCTGCCCCACTGGTGGCCTAACCAAGGCACTCACATGTTGCATGGTGGTGTGGTGTGCTCACAGGGGCAGGAGGAGGTGTCTAGTGTGCCTGTTGGTCACTGCATCAGTTGGTGACCCATCCATCACCCCCTCAGGTGCCTATGGACAGGGGCACATGTGTACAACAGCCTGGGTGCCACTTGCTCTGGTGTCTGTGGGGATTTAGAGCAGAACTGAGTGGCCAGCCTGTCATGCATAGAACAGCAGAGAGGCTTGCTAAGAGAGCAGGTTAGTGATTACAGCCCAGGCTGATGGGGCAGAAGGGCTGGTAGCCTCCTCTCTTCTCTCTGCCAATAGTTGTGCACATCATTTCCCAGGGCTGTCACGCTGTTGTCTGTTGCAGTTTCCAGGACAAGGAAAATAAGCAGGGCCATTCTGTCTGGACAGCTATAACAGATCCACGGGGAAAATTATTGTCCTGGCTTAGCCTCTGCTTGTTCATCTTCCACCTTTTTCATCTAGAAAATGGAAAAGCCAGCCAGGTCTTTAATAGGCTAATTAGGAAATGTAAGGCATGATGGGCTATTTGTGAATTCAGTTCTCTTGGCCCAAAAGGGAAAAAGGGGAGTTTCATTGTATGGGCATTTTGTCACCATTTCCTCTGTTAAAATCACACATTGGTCCCTTGAATACAGACAAAGTCCTTTAATGAATGAGTTTATTCCCATCCCTGCCTCTGCAGACTCTTAATGTTTGTCTCAGTAGGATCCTTGCTTCCAGTTGGATGTGACCAGTTTCAGACGAACATTACCAGAGTCCTTTCCCTCATTCTTGTAATGGGCCAGGAGCTGCTGATGCCTTTAAGTATCTCACTGCCTTAATGGGGTTTGCTGCTGGCTGCCAAATTGATATCTAGTGTGTAAGCTGGAGAGAGGGGTGAGAACTGCTCCCTCACCTATTAATAAATCAGCACTGCAGGGAAGAGATTTCTGCTGGGAGCCAAGTCTCACCAGTACACACTGCTAAGGGAGGGGGTGGTAACATGAGAACAGCTGCCCTGCAGGGAGCTGGGCTCAGAACAGAGGGATTTGGCCCAAAATGACAATGCTGCAGCATTAGCAGAAGCATGATCCATCCAGGAGGCCTCTCAGCATCACTTAGCTGGTGTCCCATGAACAGCACTGCTGGAGTGACTGCTGCTGCCCTGCATACTGAAAGGATCAGCCAGAACTTAAAAAAAAACATGGGAGAAAGAAGTAGGGAGCTGTGTGCCAGCCAGTTATTTCAGTGACTGAGAATATCCCTCAGTGACTAAGAACATCCCTTCCCCTGAAAGGAGCATGTCTGGGACAGCATCCCACCCAGACAAGTGGGCCCTGACAAGCAAAGATGGCTCCTGCTCAGCCTTGGATTGGGTTCTGCACCTCCCAGCTCTGCAGAGCCCAGCCCATTGTGGACACCTTGGCACCCCATTTAGGAACAGGCCAAAGGAGATGCTCACCCTGTCCAGTGTCCCCATGGCAGCTGTGGGCACAGCCCCAGGGCTCATGGCTATTGTGCTTGTTGCCAAGGCCATTACTGTCATTGAAGGCCTGAGATTGCTTTGCACTTGGAACAAGTTAATCTTCATTAAAGGATGAATAGAAGATATTTTCTTTGGCTGTCAAGGAGGGGAAAACACAGGAGATGTTCAGGAAGGAAAATGCCACACGTGTCCCTTCAAATACACACAAATGGCAGGCCAGCTCAGGATCATTACTCAGGATCATTTCCTACACGATTGCTTGGCATGTTCAGAGCCTGACAAGCTTGTCTCCTTGCCAGGGGCAGTATCTGCACCCAGAGTGGAACACAGGTGCTTCTGGGGTATGATGAGTCAAATGGCTCATGCTCCACAGTGTCAGTCTCTGCACTGATCACACAGGGTTTTTGTTGATGGCTTAGGTGTCTGCTGGGTACCATCTGTTGCCAGGTGAGATGAATCCTGCCCTGCAATGGTTTTTTCATTACACCAGAGAATCCTGGCCCTGTTTTTATTGTTTTGTTCCTCTAAAATTACCCCAAGAGATACCGGAAATGTCCTGGCTGAGACAAAGGGTCAGCCTTGGAGAGTGGAGACAGCGTGTGAGCACTGGGGCAGCAATGTGCGCTTGGCTCTTTGAGCCAGTCTGGGAAGCTTTTGTACCTTCCAGAGAGGCACAGGTGGGGCAGGACAGCTGCAGGACACCAAGGAGGGCTTGTCCTGGACTGAATTCAAGGTGCCAGAGCAGACCCTGAGCTGGTGAAGAGCTGACCTGGTGCAGGTGCATCTGGGAGGGCTGGTCTGCTGCCCTTTCCCCAGGAGAGGGGGAGATCTCTCCTCACAGAGAAGGATTATGGCTGCCCTTTTGGAAACCAGTTCAGCCAGCTGGGAAGTGACCCAGGTGATGGAGATCCTACCCTGGAGGTCTCTTGCTGTCACCAGAAATAAAATAACCTTTCAGTGACAGCCTTGATCCAGCCTTAGGGGCACTGCAGAAATTTCTGATCTCTGCCCTGGTTTCCAACAACCCAAGGAGAAATTATGTGATATGAGAGGAGGCGTGGCATGGTCTTACACAGGCAACAATTGCAGGGGCTCACTCTCACCCATCCCTCAACAAGGGGCTCCTCTCCACACTGCCTTCATTAGCCTCGTGGCTGTGCATCCCCAGGTGGAGTTCACAGTCATTGTGCTAAAATTAAGGTAGTAATTGAGATAATTTTTTAAGCTGCCAGGACACAACGGCCTTGCAACAGAATCCTTCTGCATGGCACAGCGTAAAGCAGAAAAAGAAAACGTCGGATTACTGGGTGGGGAGTTGAAGTGTCGTTTATAGATATAAAACCTGTGCCTGAGGAACGGAGCGAGTGCAAATGCAGGCAGGCAGGCGCCGCTTTTGCAGGGTTCGGAGAGCAGGAGGAATGCCTCGGAAGGGACGCTAGAGGGAAGAAGAGAGTCTCGCAAGTGCAACTTCCAAAAGCAGAAGGACTCGAAAGCCAAACCCAAGCAGCTCCAGGTCGTTCAGGAGGCATTTGGCGCTCAGTGGGCTCAACATTTTCTCTTTACCTATCCAGCATCCAGTGTGCTGGCCTCGTGCGGTGCCCCAAATGCAATACGCTGGTAGTGGCTTGCTGTATCACACACCACTTCAATGTATTTGGAAATATTTTCTTAGGAAGCCTGTAATGCCCACAAAGTGTAGTGGAGAACATCCCAGCCCCACTGTGGCACTGGAAAGCTGAGGTGCTTTTGGGGTGTTATAGGGCACGTCCATATAATAATGCTGTGTGCAGCCCCAGCATGTCTTAAAGATATCATTATCACAGCCTGTAGCTATGAGCGACAAACAGGCTCAGCAGGGATCTTGGCCCTCTTCCTGATGTCAGGATGGCACTGGGAGACCCTGGCAGGTCACAGGGGCTGGTGCCAAGGCTTCAACATCTGCCACCGCCCAGCCCATGTAATTTCTATCCCAGCCCTTTCCCCATGTGGAAGCTGTCAAAAATCAACACCCACATTCCCACTGCTGTTTTGTGGGCAGGGTCAGACCCTTCCTCCCCAACAGAGAGCACCAGCCCAGTTTCTTCTCCATCCCTGGGCCACTTTGCTGCTGCAGGCTCCTGTCACCTGCATCATCCACAGCCCTGGGGACACTTAGAGCCATGACAGGGGCCTGAAGGTGAGTACCACAGCAGCTGCTCTTTCCTCTGCAGCCAACCCCATCAGCCCTGGCCGTGCTGCCTGCAGGGACAGTGCTGAGCTGTGCTGCCTCCTGGTCCTGCTCTGCTGGGCTTGTGCTGACCCAGGGTACAGCAAACACGGCTCTACCGTCTGCCGTGTGAGGGACACACAGAGATGTCGGGCTCAGGGCAGAAAGAAGGGGTGGAACTGCTGTGGGGGGAAGCAGTGGAAGCCTTTGGGAGGTGTGTCCAGCAGGAGGGCACTTGGTGAGCAGAGGGGGAAGCATGCCCCAGCGGGCGGCAGAGGGGAGATGGACATGCCAGCAGCTGGGGTCGGGCTGGGAGCACCAGCAGTCCTGTCACAGCAGGAGAGGCTTGTTCTCCTGCTCCAGAGGTGGAGGCAGTGACCAGGCTGGGCTGATGGATCCCCCTCCAGCCCCCTCAGGAGT